CACTACCCAAAACAATCTAGAGATCCAAGGCAATCCTATCAAAATCCCAATGGCGTTTTTCATAGAACTATAGCAAACAATTCTAAAAAGCTAAAGGGTTCTCTTTTTATGTTATGTTCATCACCATACATTACATCATTAGTTTTTGATGTACTGTTCCATGATTTATTGTTTGCATATAACACCCAGTGCTCCATGCAGAACGTGCCCTCTTTAATACCCATCACCAGGCTAACCCATCCTCCCGCCCCCCTCCCCTCTAGAACCCTCAGTTTGTTTTTCAGAGTCCATAGTCTCTCATGGTTCATCTCCCCCTCCGATTTCCCCCCCTTCATTCTTCCCCTCCTGCTATCTTCTTCTTCTCTTTTTTTTTTTTTTTAATATATTGAAAAAGAAGAACGAAGCCAGAGGTATTATGCTCCCTGGTTTCAACTTATGGTACAAAGCTATAGTAATCAAAACACTACAGTATTGGCAAAAAAAAAAAAAAAAAACCAGACACGCAGGTCAACAGAACAGAGTCCAGAAATAAACCCATACATATCTGATCAATTAATTTATGACAATGGAGGCAAGAATATACAATTGGGAGACAGTCTCTTCAATAGCATTGGGAAAAATGGATAGCCACATGCAAAAGAATGAAAATGGACCACTATCTCATACACACACAAAAATTATCTCAAAATGAATTAAAGACTTGAATTTAAGACCTGAAACTATAAAATTCCTAGAAGAAAACATAGGTGGTAAGCTCCCTGATATTTTTCTTAGTGATGTCTTTTTTTGGAGCTGAAGCCAAAGGCAAGGGAAACAAAAGCAAAAAGAAACAAGTGGGACTACATCAAACTAAAAAGATTCTGCACAGCAAAGGAAACCATCAAGAAAATGACAAGACACCTACTGAATGCCAGAAGATACTTGCAAATGATATATACAATAAGGGGTTAATATCCAAAATATATAAAGATCTACAACTCAATAATAAAAAACCACTCAATTAAAAATGAGCAGAGGATCTAAATATACATTTTCCAAAGAAAACATATAAATGGCCAAGAGACACATGAGATGTTCAGATATCACGAACAGGGAAATGCAAATTAAAACCACAATGAGATATCACCTCACACCTGTCAGAATGGCTAAAATCAAAAACTCAAGAAACATCAGGTGTTGGGGCGCCTGGGTGGCTCAGTCGTTAAGTGTCTGCCTTCGGCTCAGGTCATGATCCCAGGGTCCTGGGATGGAGCCCCGCGTCCGGCTCCCTGCTCAGCGGGAAGCCTGGTCTCCCTCTCCCACTCCCCCTGCTTGTGTTCCCCGTCTTGCTGTGTCTCTCTCTCTATCAAACGGCAAGGATGTGGAGAAAAGGGAACCCATGTTTCACCGTTGGTGGGAATATAAATTGAAGCAGCCACTCTGGACAACTGCATGAAGATTACTCAAAAAATTAAAAATAGAAATATCATACAATCCAACTATTTCAAGGTTTGGTTGTTTACCCAAAGAATACAAAAAACACTAATTTAAAAAGATATATACACCCCTATGTTCACTGAAGCATTACAACCTAAGTGTCCACCTATGAATAAATCAATAAAGACATAGTACGTACACACACACACACACACACACACACACACACACAATGGAATACTACTCAGCCATAAAAAGGAAGATCTTGCTATTTGTGACAACATGGACGGACCTTGAAGGTATTATACCAAGTGAAACATGCTGGACAAAGACAAATACCATATGATTTCACTTATAGTGGAATCTAAAAAACAAAACAAACTAAACTAATCTGAACTCATAGATACAGAGAACAGACTACCAGAGGGGAGGGGGATTCAGGTGGGCAAAATTGGGAAAGGGGCTCAGTTGTATGGTGACGAATGGTAACTAGATTTATGGTGATCATTTTGCAGTGTATACAAATACCAAGTTATAATGTTGTGCACCTGAAACTTATATAATGTTATATACCAGTTTGACCTCAATTAAAAAAAGGGGGGGGCACCAACATCCTAACAAGCCCTTCACATTGCATATCAGGTAAAAAAAAAAAAAAAAAGGCAATCTCTGTTATAAAAGCTCAAACATCTGTCTACTAGGACCAAGCACGATGGATACATAGCCGGTAATGATAGTTTCTACCCTAAGGGGAAGGCCCTGGAATCAGAACTTTTCCCGAAGGAGATGGGCCCTGAGCTCAGTTCTAAAGAAGTGTGCTCAGTGAAAAAGGAGAGGCACAGGAGAAAAAGCACACTTGAGGCCCCAGGAACATGGCAATGTTGGCCTTCTCTCCCAGACTGGTTCCTCTTTTAAAACAAGCTCAAGGCCTAAAATTTGGGTAAACACAATGCAGTATGCATGTGAATATAGAATTCATATTTCAGTTATTCAGAAACACAGTATTATACAAAGGTAAGTTCCCCTGCAGACTTCTAGGGCTAACAGATTCGAAAGCTTGAGAACATCACGCTCAAATACAACACCACTCAAATGCCTTCAGGAAACCCACTTTTACTCCCATATTTTGAGCTGCCATTACCATATTTTCCCTTTCTTTATGATCCCACAGCCCTCAATCCAAGAGGCTTTTCTCTTCTTTCTTAATTCTTCAAAAACCCACTCCTATTCTGTCAAGCCCACCATTCTGAAGGGACTTGCCCTGGATGCTCACAGGAAAGCTAAGTGACCATGTGAAGTGTCCTTTATGGGAGCACCGGGGTGGCTCAGTAGGTTAAAAGGCTGCCTTTGGCTCAGGGTCATGATCTCAGGGTCCTGGGACTGATCCCCGTTCAGCGTTCCTTGCTCAGCATGGAGCCTGACGCTCACCCTGCTCTTGTTTTCTCTCTCTCTCTCAAATAAATAAATAAAGTCTTAAAAAAAAAAAAAAAGTATCCTTTATGAAAAAAATCAATGGAAAAGCATTAAATAGAGATTGTATCTCTAGCAAGTACTTTTAAGAAGGAATCTGGTAATTATTAGGAAAAGATGGAAAAACAATGGCCCAATGTCCCTGAAATTGAAATACATATATTTGGTCTGTTGAAATCCAAAACAGAAAATCAACCAGGTTTTAGGGAATTAATTTACATTCCCCAGCCCCATCTTGTAAATGGATGTTCCTTGGAATCACCCATGGGGCCAGGAGAGAGAGAGCAGAGAGATAGAAAGAAAGGGGAGGGGGAAGGAAGGGGGAGGAAGGGAGAGGAAAAGTGAGTAAGGGGAGAGGGGGAGAACAGAGAGGAAAGGGAGAGGAATGAAAGGAAGGAAAGCAGCACTATTCCAGAGGCAGAGATGCGTGTCTTCTGAGGTGCTGAGGGTGTGGAATAGACAGGAAGGGCTTTCTATCCTGTGCCAATTCCTGTGGTCATTAAAGTTTGCCAGCCCTCATCTAATTCCTTATCAACCTCCCTCAAGGGAAGCAGAAATCAACTGACTCACTAATCCCAGCTCCTTCTTGAAAGACTGTACTCCTCATGAAAGAACCAGGGCCAGACAGGCATAGTCAATTCCAAACTTCATTTAACATTAGGTGAAAGCAGAATAACGCTCCAACACATGGCGTGAGATACACATAACTCTAGCCCTTGACCCTGGACAACTAAAATGCAAGTCAAGCAGAGTCACTGTGCCCAACACAAAGTACACTTTTAAAAATATATTTTTATATTCCTTCACCAAGCAGCCACACACATCCACATGCCTGTAAAGGTCAAAGGCTCAGTTAATTGCACTGTTCTGTGACCAAAAGGAAGCTGACAAAAGCGCCCTGATTCCTTCTTTCAATAGGTTCTAAAGGAAAAATCCTGACACTGGAATTGTCGCTGGGGGGCAGGGCAGGTCGGCCAACACCTCAGTGGCATAAAGAGACACAAAGCCACCCCCAAAAAGGTGCTTCTAACTATAAATAGCAAGCATTAACATGTCTATAGATTGCTGATAGCCTATCAATGCAAAGGTACACATAAATGTTTTTCGGTTTTTTTGTAACGAAAAATAGCAGAAGTTTTAAAAGACCAGGTAGGGGCACAAACCAGAAAAATTTGGATGGAATTTAGGCTGTGAAACCGACACACCCTAGCAAACTCTGAGCTCCAGCGTTTCCCCTCTGGAAACGGCGCTTTCTCCACGAATCAGGAATCCTCCAAGCACCTGTCGCCGCCCGGAGACACCCCTGGGGATAAGAACACACACATCCTCACGCCCTGCAGGCAGCCTGGCCAGGATGCGCAACGGATCCTCGTTACTGGGGTAGCATCTCGGCCACTTACTGACTGTGACCAGGGGCAAACTGCTTAACCTCAGTTTTCTCATCCATAAAGTGGGAAGAGTTAAGAACACAGTTCTGCAGAATCTTTGCCAGACTTCATTTCACCCAACGCCTAGCACGTCTATTTGTATTTGCCGGAAGGCCTGGCATCACTCAACTAATTCCACAAACCGCATTTCCACCGCAGCCTGCACTATCGGTTTTTTGTTTTTTAGATTTTATTTATTTACTTGAGAGAGAAAGAGATAGCGAGAGAGAGCAGGAGCTGGGAGGAGTGGAAAGGAAGAAGCAGGCTTCCCGCAGAGTAGGGAGCCCGATGTGGGGCTCGATCCCAGGATTCTGGGATCATGACCTGAGCCGAAAGCAGACGCTTAACCGACTGAGTCACCCAGGCGCACCACCTTGCTGGTAAGTCAAGCCCGAAGTGAAACAAAACCGCACTCTACAGTGTGCTTCAACCTGCAAAGCCACGCCGCTACTGGGCGCTCCTACAGGCCTGGCCCCTTTCACAGAGAGGTGCAAGGACGCACGGAACCCTCGAAGGTTGGAGGTTGGCATTCCACCATGCCGGTTCCACCTCTGGAAACTGACAGCGACCTGAGCTCCCAAGCCAAGGCGGCGACGCACGGGCCCCACGCTCTGCAGTACCGCGAGCCCGGGTCTCCTCCAGCGCCGTGGCAAGAACGCGGCGGGTCGGTGGGTCGGGGTCGTTTACCTGCCAATGATCACCACCTCGCCGGTCGCTGGGGACGCCATGGCCAGACGCCTAGATGGCCCGGGAGCCGCACCGTAAGTGCGAAGAGCTGTGCGCGACAGGGCTCTCGGGCGCCGCGCGCTGCGCCAGATCCCCGCGCCTGGCGGGGCGTGACCCGCGCCGATTGGCTTGGCACCAGAGCCCGGGGCGGGCGCGCGGGCCGGATAGGCTACTGGAAGGCCGGGGGGGCGGGCCCGCCGCCTCGGTCCCCATTGGGTGCGTGGCGGGCGGAGCCTCCGCCCGGACACCCAGGCGCAGACCCGGAGCAAAGGGGAGCAGGCGGGGCTGGCCGGCTGGAGGACCCGCTGCGGGGGAAACGCTGAATGGAAAGCGCGAAGACCCAACCCTTCGGACTTCGGCAATTCATTTTTTCATATTTTAGTTTCCATCTGTACACCCTAAAATCAGTGTACATAGGAGGGGGCACCTCCAGGCTGGCACAAGTCTTGACCGCCAAAGGACCTCAAGGAAACTTGCAGTAGAATTTCCTCTTTGAAAATATTACCACCTCTTCTATACATACCCCGTTCAGGCCTTTATACCGAGGGTGGTTATTGCTGAGCTTACACTCATAATTCGTTTCTAGAAAGATCCTCGCTGCCTTTCTCCACAGATGAGAACTGAGACCCAGGAACTTTGGGAAAGCAGGAAAGCTCCAAATGTATTTATCTATGACACTGGAAGACGTGTTTGATCCCACTATACTATGCTAAGGGGACTGTGAGGAATGGGAGTTATTTGAACTGTACTTCCTCCTTCAAGAGGCAGAGTCGGTTTATGTATGCCAGAAAGGAAATGTCCAGGAACAAACAAACAGACCAAGAGGAAAGGGCGTATACATCTCATGACAGTTTGTGTCCACACAGCACAAGCTGGGAAGGAAAATACCACAGTCATCCAATTCAAGAGGACTAGAGAGTACTCAAACTGAAAACATGCGCAACATTGACCTACTCAGATGACAAATGGAGCTCTTCCTTTGTTTTCCCCGGTCAGAACGTGGAAAGAAGATTGTCAGAGGGAGGGGTAGGCTTTAAAGAACAATTTCACAAAGTTTCAATAAACACATGGAACAAGGTGCTCAACTCACTTAAGAGAAGATAAATGAAAAGTAACACAAAATAGATAACTCATCTTTCACCCACCAAATAGGCTAAAATTACAAAGATTGATAAAATATCCATATTGGCAATGAGTTGTTTCAGACCTGCAACCCTTTAATACACAGTTGAAGGCAGGCTTATATTGGCACAGCCTTTCTGGAGAAAAATACTGTTGGGAGAGCAGTCAGCCATGAACCCTCAGCATTCCTGAACTTTCTTGCTGAGTGTAGCAGACTGCAAGGCATATCCATCTGATGCTAAGTTGTTTCTGTAGCTATGCACCCAGGCAGCTAAATAGATCAAGGCTCCTGCAGAGTGAGTAGTTGTAACTGCTCCCTCCTGGGGTGGAAGGGAACTGGCTTGTTTGCTGCTCACTACAGCATCAGCTCTATGCTCAACAAGTGCTGGTCCCTTGGCCTTGCAAAAGCTGGGGTCATCTGGCCCTCCATGTAACCCTGTGGGAGTTGAGGCTCCAAGAGCAGGTGTAAATATGCTGAAACTCTGGCTATTGCTTTTGCTGTGACTAGTAGGGTCTTTTATCTCTAATCCAGGAGTCTCATGTCTTCTGTCAGCTCCCACAAAACTGGGTCAAGCTAACTCATTAGTTTGTAGTAAGATGAAAATCTCAGGCCCCTTTACAGTTCTTGACATACCAAAATTTAAAAGTTATGTACTTTGGCTTTGCAATTCCAGTCCTAGAGATCTGTTATATAGAAATACAAGTGGACATGAAGATAGACAAAATGGTTTATTTCAGGAAATAAATAAAATAGAAGAGAAAAATATTAAAATATGTAGAATCTTAACAATGTTAAAATAGACATTGAAAACATGATGAATATCTATCAATAAGAAACAGTTTTAAAGATTATGGTACAGAGGGCTTCTGCTTCTGTCCAAGAGGGAGTAACACAAATCAGACTTAGAGTCCTGCCTTAAACAAACAGAACACCCCCCCCAAATATGGGGAAAATTGGCCTCAGATATTAGACAAGAGGGAGTCTCAGATTGTGATCCCATCCATAAATATACACAGTCTACTGATTTTCAACAAAGGTATAAAGGCAATTCAATGGCAAAAGATAGTCTTTTCAACAAATGGTACTGGAACAATTGGATATGCATAAGTAATGATAATAATAGCCCCTTACCATATATAAAAATACTAACATCCAAATGCATCCATGTGAAACCTAAAACCACAAAACATCTAAAAGAAAACATAGGAGAAAATTTTGTGATGCTGAGTTAGGGAGAGATTTCTTAGATGTACCACAAAAAGTTTAACAGGCAAATAAAAAGTTGGTAAAGTAGACCTCATCAAATTTAAGAACTTATGCTTTTTCAAGACAATATCAAGAAAATGAAAAGATAAGCCACAAACTGAGGGGGGGGAATATTTTCAAATTAGGTATCTATTACAGGTCTTGTTCACAAAATATATAAACAGTTCTCAAACTCAATAATAATTTTTTCTTAAAGATTTTATTTATTTGACAGAGAGAGACGCAGTGAGAGAGGGAACACAAGCAGGGTCAGTGGGAGAGGGAGAAGCAAACTTCCCGCCGAGCAGGGAGACCGATGTGGGACTCAATTCCAGGACCCTGGGATCATGACCCGAGCTGAAGGTAGACGCTTAACGACTGAGCCACCCAGGCACCCACACAATAATAATTTTTAAAATGGCTTTTAAATTTAATTTTTTAAAACAGTGACAAGTTTTATGTTGTGTATACATTATCACAACTTTTTAAATGGCCAAAAGATTTATTTTCTTTTCAAATTTTTATTTAAATTCGAATTAGTTAACATACAGTACAATATTGGTTTCAGGAGTAGAATTCAGTGATTCATCACTTACATACAACACCCAGTGCTCATCATAACAAGTGCCCTCTTTAATACCCATCACCCCTCTAGCCTATCCCTCACCCTCCTCCCTCCATCAACCCTCAGTTTGTTCCCTAGATTTAGGAGTTTCTTTATGGTTTGTTTTGCTCCCTCTCTTTTTGATGGCTGAGAAATATTCCATTGTATATATGTACACCATATCTTCTTTATCCATTCATCAGTCAATGGACATTTGGGCTCTCTCCATAGTTTGGCTATTGTTGATAGTGCTGCTATAAACATCAGGGTGCATGTACCCCTTCAAATCTGCATTTTTGTATCCTTCGCATAAATACCCAGTAGTGTAATTGCTGGGTCATAGGGTAGCTCTATTTTAAACTTCTTGAGGAACCTCCATACCGTTATCTAGAGTGGCTGCACCAGCTTGCACTCCCACCAACGGTGCAAGAGGGTTCCCCTTTCTCCACATCCTTGCCAACATCTGTTGTTTCTTGTGTTGTTAATTTTAGGCATTCTGAAGGTGTGAGATGGTATCTTATTCATAGGTTTTGATTTGTATTTCCCTGATGCCGAGTGATGTTGAGCATCTTTTCCTGCGTCTGTTAGCCATTTGTTTTTTTTTTTTTTTTTAAGATTTATTTATTTATTTGAGAGAGAGAGAACACTCGCATGAGAGGCGGGGAGGGCGAGAGGGAGAAGCAGACTCCCTGTTGAGCAGGGAGCCCATGCAGTACTCCATCCCAGGACTCCAGGATCATGACCTAAGCCTAAGGCAGTCGCTTAACCAACGGAGCCACCCAGGCACCCCTGTTAGCCATTTGTATGATCGTCTCTAGAAAAGTGTCTATTGGGGCACCTGGGTGGCTCAGTCGTTAAGCGTCTGCCTTCAGCTCCGGTCATGATCCCAGGGTCCTGGGATTGAGCCCCACATCAGGCTCCCTGCTTGGCGGGAAGCCTGCTTCTCCCTCTCCCACTCCCCTTACTTGTGTTCCCTCTCTCACTGTGTCTCTCTCTGTCAAATAAATAAATTCTTTAAAAAAAAAAAAAGTGTCTATGCATGTCTTCTGTCCATTTCTTAACTGAATTATTTGGTTTTTTGGGTGTTGAGTTTGATAAATTCTTTATAGATTTTAGATACTAACCCTTTATCAGTTATGTCATTTGCAAACATCTTCTCCCATTCTGTAGGCTGCCTTTTAGTTCTGTTGATTGTTTCCTTTTCTGTGCAGAAGGTTTGTATCTTGATGAAGTCCGAATAGTTCATTTTTGCTTCAATTTCCCTTGCCTTTGGAGATGTGTCTAGGAAGAAGTTGCTATGGCTGAGATCTGAGAGTTTGCTGCCTGTGTCCTCCTCTAGGATTTTGATGGTTTCCTGTCTCACATTTAAGTATTTCATCCATTTTGAATTTATTTTTGTGTGTGGTGTAAGAAAGTGCTCGAGTTTCATTCTTCTGCATGTTGCAGTCCAGTTTTCCCAACACCATTTGTTGAAGAAACTGACTTTATTCCATTGGATATTCTTTCCTGCTTTGTCGAAGATTAGTTGACCATAGAGTTGAGGGTCCATTTCTGTGTTCTCTATTCTGTTCCATTGATCTATGTATCTGTTTCTGTCCAGGACCATACTGTCTTGATGATTACAACTTTGTAATATAGCTTGAAATCCAGAATCATGATGTCTCTGGTTTTGTTTTTCTTTCTCAGGATTGCTTTGGCTATTCAAAGTCCTTTGTGCTTCTGTACAAATTTTGGGATTGTTCTTGTTCTGTAAAAAATGCTGTTGGTATTTTGATAGGGATTGCATTAAATGTATAGATTGCTTTGGGTAGTATAGATACTTTAACAATATTTGTTCTTCCAATTCATGAGCATGGAATATCTTTCCATTTCTTTGTATCTTCTTCAGTTTCTTTCATCAGTGTTTGATAGTTTTCAGAGTACAGGTCTTTCACCATTTTGGTTAGGTTTATTCCTAGGTATCTTACTGTTTTTGGTGCAATTGCAAATGGGATCAATTTTGATTTCTTTTTCTGCTGTTTTGATACTGG